TCCAGCCTTACTTTTTCAGAACAAGTTATTTATTGGTTCTTTACAATTATTGCATTGATTTATCTGCCAGCATGGATGTCTAATTTGAGTTTTGAATTTCAGGGTCACTCAAAATGTGTAGAGCTGAGAAAGATGAAGAAAGAGGAGCTTCAGAAGAAGCTCCTTGAACTGAAGCAGGAGCTGTCTGGCCTGCGTGTAGCTAAGGTTACAGGTGGTGCTGCATCTAAGCTCTGCAAGATGTAAGTAGTTATGCAGTACATGTAACTTTAAATTTAATGGATTTACTTCACAAACACTGAAGAGTTGGGTCATAGGTGTTAAATCTTAATTAATTCCTAGGTTTCTAAAGAAAAAAGGGTAGAGGTTGAAGACTGCGACGCGCGTAGATAGAGGAAAATGGACACCGCCATCTTATAGAGCGGGAAAAATAGAAGGGGATAGCGTATAGTTTAAGATGCACCGGCCTTATAGTCACCGCTAAATGACGAAAATATAACGCGCGGTCGCCTTTCAAATTCAAAGTCGATGAGCTTGTTTACCTTGCTAGGAAAAACACGACACTGACCCACAAACGCATTTTTGCGTTCGCGAATTAGTCCGTGTATCATTACGCGCTTGTCTAAACGATATTTGGCTAATTATCTGTGTCTGCTGGTACGCATTTATACCTTTAAAGTCTTTTAGTAATGTTATTATACTTCAATTGCATATTTTTATATTTATCTATACCCTCATATCGAATCCTGCGCATCGAGTGTTTCACACTTTCTTGCGCCAGCCACAGGTTGACAGCTCACCAACCCGCTCATTTCGAGATTGAAAGCCGGTGAGAAATGTTGCGTTTCCAATGTTGTGTTGATTCTGGGTTCTTTTTTAAGACCTTTACAGTGGCATCGAAGAATAATTTGACTTCAGTAACCATCCCAGTTTTATATCTGAGCCCATCAAGAGCTCCAAAGGACAAAAAAGGTGATTAAAATCAAAGTAATCCCAACAGTACAAAGAAACGTAAGTTTCACGTTTCCGGATATAAAGGTATTTGGTTTATTATTTTATGGTGTGAATGCAGCTATGTCTTGCCGTACATACCGTGGTGGAGAGAATGTGTCCTGGGGGTGTTGGGGACTTGCCCCCCATCAACCCTCCCCTCGGGCAGTGCCCGAAGGGCACGCCTAGTCACGGCAATTTATATTGATATATTAGGTTGGTTGGTTTATTGGTCAATACGTTTTTGGGGGTTGGAACGTGTGAATTCCCGTAGAATTTTTGCCGAAATGTGGGTTGGGTTCCCGTAGAGTTTTTGATTTCTTTCGCGTCAGTCCGTAAACTTTCAAAGATGGCGGTTACATCCGTAGTTTCATTGGCCAATTTTAAGCGCTTTTTGTGCTAGTTTTATGCAATTTTTGATCGTTATTCTTCTTATTTAAGCTTATTTTACCCCATAATTTCCCTGATATACTTCATGCCCTCCCCTGCTAACGGGACTATCAAATCAAGATCGTCGATGGAGAAATGGTACTCGATCTCCTGAACGATTCATTCGCAAAAGAAACAACGCCGAAAATAGATGAAATCATAGGATTTCATGCCGAAAAACATTTTTTTTTTTTTTTTTTTTTCGACTTAGTCTCTGCGAGGGTGCGTCGCGGTCTTCAACAATTACCGAAAAAAGAAATCAGTGGATCTAGATTGAATTGCCGCTGTCTCAAAAAGGAAGACAGAATTAATTTTCTGTAGTGTCCAGGACCTTTTTTTTTTTTTTTTTTTCCCCCCCCCCAATTTAATATCTGATGTAAAAAAATCACCATGAAGTTGGCATCTGCATCCATTATAGAGAGATTAAGATTGAAGTACATTTGTCAGTTAAATGAGCTATGGCAGTTTTTGACATTAATGGAAATTGTATATGTATATATTTTTGAATATTTATTAATTCTAAAGTTCTGTAATGTTACTGAAATAGTGAAACTTAACTATACAAATTATGAACATTTGTTGTTAATCAAATTAGATGATTTGGAAGCAGGTTATGACTGTTTCCAATCATCATCATTGAACCTTTCTGTACAGCACTGTAGCCAATGTAGTTGATAGCCAACATTTTCAAACATTTGCAGCTGCACTTTGTAATTTGCCTGTGTTGAATTACCTTTCTGGGATCTAGTGGCTTCATTTCTTATGATTAAAGCTAGAGCATAGTTTATAATGTTATTGTTTGAACATGAAACTAGGTTTGGGTTTTTTAATGTACATTTTCTTGTAGAATGACAAGCAAGATTTTGCAACTTTGCCCAAAAAAAATCAATAACCATTAGGTTGGGATATAGAATTCAGGTGATTAGGCTTGAGCCTTTGCACTTCGTAGCCTATGGATGATGTGGGGTTCACATCATGGGCGACTCAGGCAGGGTTTGGTTTACCCCTAAGAAATCTCTAAATATTGTTTCCTGTTATGCAAGAATTTTTTTTTCCATTACAGCCGTGTTGTTAGGAAGTCCATTCACCGTGTTCACACCATCATTGGACAGAAGACAAAGGAGAATCTTAGGAAGTTCTACAAGGTTAGTTGCATTTTTGTAAAGAGTACGCATAAATGTGAGTATAAAAATTATTCAAAGAAATTACTATATAATTCTGGATATTAGAAAGTCAAGTACTATTGAGTTTTTATCAGCCACATAACCACTAATTTTCATGACAATGTCCCTCCCACCCCATAAAATGGCCAAGGTCTTCATCTTTCAACAAGTTCCAATTGTCAAGCTTGGTTTTGGTAAAAATATATCGACCTACCTTGCCAAGTTCTACAGATTTTACAAATTGAAATTCAGAAGTGTTTCTGCAAAATTTAGTTCAATTTTAGGAGTATATTGTTATTTGAGATGTAACATGCTTATGGTTTTATTACCATGAATGGTTATCATGTTAGCATTTGTGTACACGCTGTAGTTATGTATGGTGTGTATACACCATTGTTAGCCATTGTGTTTTGTATGATGCTGACGTTTGTTATTTATCTTCTTTCCAGGGAAAGAAGTACAAGCCTCTTGACCTCCGCCCAAAGAAGACCCGTGCCATCCGTCGTTCCCTTACCAAGTCTGAGAGCGCCATTATTAGCCCAAAGGAGGCTAAGCGCAGATGGAACTTCCCCCAGAGGAAATATGCTGTCAAGGCATAAGTAAATAAATGATGAGAGGTAATTTATTCTTTATTTAAACCCTTCGCAATATTTTTGAGTTGGAAGGAAATAAAATGGCCATACACCCTACAGAGAATGAGAGGATGACCATCAAAGTACTTTCCTAGAAATAATCAAAGGTTTTAGGTCCTAGAAATGTCTTTTAAAGTTTGACCTTCACCAATGAAAGGTACCACATGGACATCAACAAATTCATCAGTGATGTTCATATGTATGGAAAATGAATATTCATGAACCCTGCCTCCTCGCAGTTCCATGCAAATCCAAGTAAAACTGGCTGATATGATAATCAAAATTACACTATATTTGGATACTTTCACACAAATTTTGTTGGCTTGCCTTTTGGTGGTGATTACCTTAATATGTACATCTTGCCTTGTATGTATCTCTGCCACTCAAGCCGTAGTCTCCCCTAGAACACTAGGAGGCATAAAGTGTCTGTGCATATCTATATATTTATATGTATCACTTATTTATATAATATGAAGGCTCCCACTATTATGCCAATCTGATTAACAATACCCCTTACTCTATGGCCAGGACAATTTGGAGGTTTGCTGCTTTGTCCATGACTATTCTAGCATTGCCCATAGCTATGAAAACTTTGCAATTTGCTTTAGTCCATAATTGCAAATTGCAGTTCTTCCAAATTAGCCATAAGGCAAAACTTGTAAGGAATTTCATGATGCTTTCCCAGGATTTTTTTTTTTTTTTAGAATTTCATCTTTACTTTACACAATGTCCATAACGTACCTAGTGAGTGCTCCACTCCAGATAAGAGACTGGCAAATAGAAATTTAAGGTTAAATTAAGCTGGAATTGTTGCCAATTGTTGCTCCCAAATTGGATCCTCGTAATCCTTTCCTCAAATAAGTATCTGTATAATCATGGAAGGCTCTAGTTTTTCATGGCTCGGCTACTAATAATTAGTGATATCTCGTCTCAGCCATGTTAGTCCTGCAGTTGAGAGTCTGAATTGCATACAAAATACAAGTAAAAAGGCATTAAACATGTATAGTTAAGTTTACATGAAAGATGAAGTATTGGAATGTGGTCATTATATTTATTTTTGAAAGGGTTGGTGTTGCATAATCATGAAAGATACTAGAATTTCTAAGATTAAACATTTCTCTAAAGTCTTGTGTATATTGATTGATCACTTCATTTTCACACACATTTTTACGTAATGCAAGATTGTATGTAGTGATATACAAGCCCCAAAGCCAACCATAGCATACATTCTCCCTCCCTCAGAACACTGGTTCTGGCTTACTCCCCCACCCCCCAAAAAGAAAAATATACATTCCTCAAGCATGGGGGTTCCTTATAAAGAATACCATAAAATGTACTGCACACATGTAATATGACGTGAATCACCCATGCCCTTTAGCCATATCCATCAGCCGTGACATGAATAACATGTCACTTGGAGCCGTCACTAAGTCAGCCATGTTAACCATAGTCTGAGGTAATATAGAAACTTTTCTATCTTATTTCATGTCAAAGAGGAGGAGAACCCTTTCAGTTAACTGTCATGGACACTGGTTCTGGCCTTTTCCCCCACCCCCCCAAAAAAAAAAAAAAAAAAAAAAAAAAAATATATACATATATAATAATCCGAAGGCTTATGCTGTATTATGTGAATCTGAAATCCTTTGAATCAAACATTAAGTGACCACAAACAGGGAACCAAATTTGAGAACTTTACTGCTGGAGCTAATTTCAAACCAGCAGCCCAGCCTTACTGGAAATACAATGACCTAGGTGAAGCAAAGCTATATTCTCAAATAATAGTCCAGAATAATTGTGCATTTTTTAATCAAGTACTAATGTAATTTACACTAAAATTTGCAACATAGTCATTGGGTTTATAAATGGTATATACAAAATATATGTATTGATATAAACATCCTATTTATACAATTGCCAAAGAAATAATTAACATGCAATCTGTATGCTGATCACTCAATCAGCATACCAGCTACAAAACAATAATTCAATGTATGCAATTTTTGATTGTATATATTCATTTAAAAGATAAAGAAAACCAGATACAGCATTCACACTAATAATTCAAAATATTTAGCTAAATATTAAAAGCAATTGGAATGTTGAAGAAATTCACGATAAGAACAAAGAAACAACTTTCCTTTTTATTGCCTTTTAAATTCATTTATTTTGACAAATGGTTATCACTGTATACCAAGGCAGTTTGAAAGCACACTTCCAATACAGTGCTGTGGAAGGAACAATTACTACATCTGACTGGCCCTGCTGCTGCCACTAGGGTTAGTATGTCACACTGAAATCAAGGAAAGAAATTTCATTACTATTGCTTTTGGGTACACATTTGATAATTAAGGTTCTAAGAATTATTATTGAAGTATTTATATTTAAATTTCAAACCTCATAATAGGATTCAAATTCTAAGTAGATGAGTTGCTTGTCTTTATAAATAAATACATATGGAAGATGTGTATATTCCCTTTCCTTAGTTTTTGAGGACTTTTGAGAACATACCTTTAACTTGAATTTCACTGGGTGCATCAATATTATTATTTGCATGGCCATTTGTGAGCTGCTGCTGCTGCCTGGGGTCATGGTTACCATTCACCATCAGTTTCTCCATGCCATTTGTTACTATGTTCTGATTAAAAAGAGAAAAATTATAGTCTTGTGGACTGTTTAAAAGTGTATGGAAAACTTTGTACATTTATTTACACTAAAAACTACCCTCAAAATCTTTGGTAATGTTACCTCTGCTGCTTCCATCTCTGTCATGATGGCATCCAGTTTTTCAACAAGCTCTTTAGCATCTTCCATTCCAAAGACCATTGGGCTTTTGAACTTCAGAACATTTCTGTAAGGGCCATCATTGCTCAGCAGCACGTATTGCTCCTTTAATCTGCAAGATAGTTTCATTATTTGATCTTCATGTACCTGTATCTCTAGTCACTTGTACATACTTTGTATGGTCACTTTTATTTAAGATTAAATAAAACAGCTGGACAAGCAGTTTGATGCACATATATAATTCATTCCTGGTAATAAGATTCATACAAAGTGAAATGTCCAACCATTACCAAACAAGCACCCCTCTGCTTATATAATGGCAGCAAAATTTTACACACTATCCTCATGATTGCTCTGTAGAGTCGATACAAAAAATTCTCAAGATCTCTTGCGTTATCAATGTAAGATGCTGTAATGGAAGATATATGAAGAAATATAAAATGACTTGTATTGACAAGGACCCAGTACTATACCAATATGATAAGGCTTCACTCTCGAGATTGTTCATCTAGTAACTACACAAGCTCCATAAGAATAGCATAAAATTTACTAAACAACTAACTGCTTTTATAGATGCTCACTCTCAGTGTTATGTTGAGCAGTAGAGGTTCTAAGTATTGTCAAGAATGATAGTTATGCATCTGTATCCATACATTAATGCATTATTATTCCTTGCAAAAGAAATAACTTCTCATTTTGTGTGTAATTAGCAGGGTCGAGAAAATGCATATATCTAGACAACTCAAAATGTAAGGAAATGTAACTTTGTCTGCATATTATTATAATTTGAGAAGAACAATATGGTGGAATCCATGGGCACAGTATTCCCCTGTATAGTTGTCAAGCCCTTACTCCTCAAGAGGACCAGAGGGGAGGACTGTTTCTCCCCTTATTTCACACCTTCATTTGGAACACTATGGCTTACCCCTTTAATAACTAGCCCCACATTTAAATTCTCCGCATTCCCTGACTCCAGGCTCTCCTTTGAACACTACTGAGACTACCCCTTCCTCAATGGCTACTATCACCTCAGTCTAGCCCAAATCATCCACCCACATTATTATTCAACCTCAAGAAAATATTCCTCCTCTCCCACCATCCACTAATTCACCTCCCCCCATCCTCAGCTTTCATCTACTACCCCCTCCTCCCTTATTACTACTTTGCAGTCTTGTTCACCTCTCTGTCAACAACACTCCCTCTTTCACATGTCCATGCCCTTCTACTATCCCCACTTCTACAAATCTTTTGAATAATCTGTTAAGCCCAGCCAAATGGGATCAACATTTTGTGAACACCACTACAGCCTCTTCCTCTGACATTCTCCTATTCCAGCAATGTCTCCAAACATAAGTAGGCAAAGTTTCCTTTCACAGCAGCCTCAATCATTCCCACCATGTCACATTTACATCCAAATCCCAATCTAAATCATTATCAAACCTAACTGGCATCATTGGCAAACCCATTCTTGCCTAGTCTCATCCCTCCCACAATATTTGTATCTCCCCCAATCAAACTGTCCAGTCTATGACAAGGATTGGTCACATTGTGGAGACCTAATTGTCTTAGAACAATTTCTAAAAAATTAATTTTTTATTAAATTTTATTTAATTAAATGAGTGAATGACTAATTTCAAGCGTCTGCTTTCTTCATGTGTGCAAACGGATACAAAAGATAATATCAGAGAGAGAGAGAGAGAGAGAGAGAGAGAGAGAGAGAGAGAGAGAGAGAGAGAGAGAGAGAGAGAGAGAGAGAGAGAGAGAGAGAGAGAGAGAGAGAGAGAGAGAGAGAGAGAGAGAGAGAGAGAGAGAGAGAGAGAGAGAGAGAGAGAGAGAGACAGAGAGAGAGAATGAGTCATCGACCATAGAAAACGGAGGAAGAGGCGGAGGCTGACCTCTGCAATATTTTCCCGCCGAAAGCAATCTATTTCACCGAGGTACATGGGGACACTTCCTCTAAAATCTGCCCCTTAGACTATGATGTAATATCAGTACGCTGCTACACCATTCCCCCTGTAGGCTAGCATATGTCCTCCACCAGTATAACCAAGATTACTTTCCCTAGACATGAACTCCCCCAATAATCCTACCTTTTGTTAATGAAAGCAGCCTCAGCAGTGGCAGGTTCCCGTGTCTCTCTGTTTTTTACCAAATCCACCCCCAAGAACATTCCTTCGCCTCGTACATCACCTGGAAACCATAAATTTGGTATGAGGGATTTTGACACACTTCATTTTTCTGTTAGAATTCAGCATAAACATAAATATAAAATATTACCAATAATGGCATGTTTTCCTTTAAGCCGGTTAAATTCTTGCTTTAGGAAGTTTCCAATTTTTGTAGCATTATCCAATAGATTTTCTTTCTCAATGGCATCGAGAACAGCATTTGCAATAGCGGCGGACACAGGATTGCCACCGAACGTGTTGAAGTATTCCATTCCTGTAGCTCCAAAGCTTTCAGCAATTTCCCTGCAAAATAGTTTTGTTAGTATCATCAATATACAAAATTATATACTAATACTGGTATTAAGAGCACGATTTGACAAGATTTTTTTAGAGAATGAAATGACAAGATTTGATGAAAATGAATGGTGGATTAAAGCTTACTGGAAAGATGAAAATCAATTTGACATATATGATATACATAAACAAAATAATATACGCTATGGAAGTAGCCAAATGTATACTGCTCTTCACAGTGCTATTTACAGAATGGGAGATGGAATTGTGTGAGGAAGTGCTATATGAGATAAAGCAGCTATCAAAAATGGATTATAAAAACTGTAAAACTTAAAAAAGAAGAGTACTCATAAGATATGAAAAAAGTCCTTTGTATATTTAAACTAAATTGTAGGATTACCTTGTTGTAATGACAGCTGACACAGGATGGCCATTCCCCATAGGCTTTCCAAGGGTTACAATGTCTGGAACTATGTCATCTCCCTGTGTCTGGAAGGCCCACATGTGAGAACCAACTCTTCCAAACCCAACCTGGACCTCATCTGCCAAACACACACCACCTGCTGCTCTCACATGGCTGAAATAAACAAATAAGTCTGGCTACATCGACATTTCTTAGCAAAATCACATAATTAGTGATTTTATTAATCTTTTTTATTTATTTATTCATTTAGTTATCTGATTGTTTATTTACTTATTTAATCATTTAGTTATTTGCTTGTTTATTTACTTACTAATGCTTTAGAAAACCTGTGCTTTCTATGAGAACCATTATCAACTGTCAGATATATTTTTAGTAATTGCAATTTACCTATAAACCTGACGCAGGTAACCAGGTGGATAAACAATCTGTCCACCACAGCTCTGCATAGATTCTGCGAAGAAGATGCTTACTCCACCGTGGAGTTTGGTAGCCTTGTCACACAGCTGTTTCACTTCATCTGCATACTTTTTTGTACACTCTTCTACTGTGAAGTCTTTGTCTGTGTACTTTCCTCGATACACATCAGGAACTGGAGCCTGTGAAAATATACAAACAAGTAGCAGAAATTTATAAATATGCTCATATAAATATTCGATGTGATATTTGTTAATAACTGACTCTTAAGGATATTAACTCTTTCCTTCTAAAAACACCCATAATATGTTGCTGTGGAAATACTCACAACATGGACCCAGTCACGCTGGCCTTCTCCCCCAGGATGGTTGAATTTATATGGAGAAATGTCAATAAGGGATGTGACATGCCCATGGTATGCACTGAAAAAAATATAAATACATAAAACAAAATCTCTGAGATTACTGTTAAAGCTGAAATTAAATTTGGAATTGCAAATACAATCTTAAAAAATCAGATTCACACTTCATTTACGCCACCATTGATAAAAAGACAATAAAGATGGGAAAAAAATCTTACTGATCTAGGGTTATCACATCCTTCTTTCCTGTGTGTGTTCTTGCCAGTCGTATTGCAAGGTCGTTGGCCTCACTTCCAGAATTGACGAAGAAGCAAACATTTAGCTTTTCGGGGAAAAGAGACGTCAATCTGTTAGGGGTAAGACAAAAGTGAAAACGATATGAAGTGTGGAATTTGAACAATTCTTACTTTAAATTACGTGATGTAAAACTAGAGGTTGATTATATTGTTATGCAATTCGAAATTAAAATTATAAGATACAGGAAAACATCACTAAGAATTACACTTGCATAACATAGAGCAAAATGACTACTTCGTTTTTCCTTCTAAATACTTGTTGCAGAAACAAAAAATGTAAATGTGGCTTATATTACATATCATTTGCGCATTGTTGTTCAAGACATACAGACGTATCTTATTTTAACAAAAAAAAAAAAAAAATCACAAACCTTTCCGCGTAGAGAACCAAATTATCATGAAGGAATCGACTATTTGTGTTCAGGACACTCATCTGCTCAACTGCGGCAGATACCACTTGTGGATGACAATGGCCAACTGTTGGGGGAAATCCGTAGTGAAAATTATATACACCATAATCCAAATATTTCATCATCAAATGCGAGTCAAAACATGCCGGAGCTTATTTCTCTATAAAGAATATTAAGTTTTCACTATTTTATACTAGGTTCTTGACATTCTTTCAGCGTGCAATGTCACCAGCGTTAGAAGTGATCTAATACTTTATGTTTACTTACAAAACAATTATTGCAATAATGGTGTTCATGTTGATGCTCATTATTAAAGTAATAAGAATAGGTACATCTGTCATTTATTTCTTGTACCTTGTTATCATAATGAACGCACTGCAATAACAACACTGAAAACAGGAGCGCCAATAATAAAATCGGAAAATTCACACTACCCACCCTGCAGAGGAAACCGATAATATCTCCACAATCTGATAATACTCACCATGACAGACATTGTTGATGCAGTCCAAATACCTGCATCCTTTCTCATCGTACATGTAACACCCAGCTGCGCGCACGATCTTCAGCGGGTCCGATCGGAAAAATAGTTTGCACGAGGGTCTGAAATGTTCGAGAAAAATACAGTGAGGGGTTATACTATTTAAATGCAGTTACCGAAGAAATTAGTCAACTATATAGTTCGTTGGGGTTGTTGTGATTTTCGACTGTTGCGTAAATAGTACAAATGGTAATAGGTTGAGTTGATTAAATGAGTGAATGACTAATTTCAAGCGTCTGCTTTCTTCATGTGTGCAAACGGATACAAAAGATAATATCAATTATAAAAATACTTTCCTTTGAAAAACACTTTATTCTTCTAGTACCACTTTTCCGTTATTGTTCCTTGCTTTGCTTTGGTTTAGTCCATATTTTTCCGGCCATCGATTCTCTAAGGACGTGCCAACAGTTTCATCGATCCTCAATCATGAAATTCAAATGAAAGTAACAAGTAATATAATATAAATTGTGCAGTATATTCAAAACTCAAGTGCATACATGCGCATCACCATGGCAAGCTACGGATTTTTTATGCTTTGCTGCTGTGGTATGGAAGGTATGTATCCAGGGCGTGGTAGCAGTGTGGGCGGAGAGTCTGTTTATAAGTTTGTTTATAAGTTTATCTAGGAATTGTAAAAAAAAAAGTAGGTCTACACATAGTCCTTCTTGCCCATAGCTAGCTACAAACTTTCATAAACACGTACACACGCATACGGGTGGAATTCATGACGAACTAATTGCAACAGGAACAACGAAGGGAAGAACAAGAATACACACGAATATGCCGAAGGCGTTTTCGCTATTGCTTCGTCAGGGCCACACACGCACACAGACACACACAGACACACACACACACACAGACACAGACACACACACACACACACACACACACACACACACACACACACACACACACACAACACACACACACACACACTTACGAACTTCCATACACACACACACACGCACTCACAGACACACACAGACACTCACACACACACGCACACATCATGTTGAGTGCGGATGAATACACATTTGCGAGAATGTGTGAGAGTTTGTGACCATACATCAGGTATGTGAGCCTTTCAAAAAAGGACCCTTGTAGACCTCTTTAACCCTTTCGCTGCGGGTGTCACAGCGTCTGTGACAGAGCTCTGAGCTGCACGTGCTGCTGTCACAGCGTATGTGACACAACATATTTTTTTTATAGTATGAGTATATTATAGTCTACATAAACAACTAACTTAATCCCACACAGATTCCTCATATACTGATATCTGCATCGGTTTCTCTAGCACTATCCTGACCCCTTTCCGACCCCAAGGCAGGTCATCGTCCTCTCCCTGAGTCCCAACGATTCCTGGGAGCCAGCGCCTGCCGCTCCCAGAATCCCTGGCTTTCTCTTGTTTGGCAGTTCTCAATTTGTGTGTGTGTGTGTGTGTGTGTGTGTGTGTGTGTGTGTGTGTGTGTGTGTGTGTGTGTGTGTGTGTGTGTGTGGTGTGTGTGTGTGTGTGTGTGTGTGGTGCGCGCGCGCGCGTGTGTATCGTGCCTCGCCCACACATGCGACATGCACTGCATGTTCCTAGTTGATGAAACGCAAA